CCTTTTGAGGGATGTACAAAATTTCAAATTATTGAAATTGGAGGTACCATCTCGCTAGTCGATCACTAAGAATATGTTTTGACATCTTGAACTTGATATGATTTGCTTTAAAAACAAGACAGACAACATGAGCTTGAAAGTAGTGCTTCAACTTTTGCATTGAGAAGACTAGCACCAAACACAACTCTTCAATTGGCGAATAATTCAGCTCATTTGGTGTCATCATCATGTTCAAGTTGTAAAGAGAGTTTTCTTTCCCTTACTATTTTCTTGGGCCAACAGTGCTCCAACAGACCTTTCTTGCGCCGCAATGTATAGTATCAATGGCTTTCCGGGCATAAGGGCTACTAAAACTGGAGGCTTCATCAAGTAGGTTTTGATACTTTCAAAGGCATTGGTACAAGCTTGGTCCCACTTGAAAGGAATGCCTTTCTTCATGAGGTGACTAAATGGTTGGCATCTCCCAGCTAGTTTTTAGATGAATCTTCTAAGGTATGCTAGATTTCCTTGCAGACTTTTCAAATTCATGAATATCCCGAGCCTCAAGCATTTTCAAAATGGCATCCACTTTGGCTTGATCAATTTCGATCCCTCGATGTCGGATAATGAAACCAAGGAACTTTTCAGAAGTAACTCCAAAGGCACATTTCAATGGATTCATCCTAATTTGGTACCTCCAGAGCAACTCAAATACCATTCTCAAGTCTTTCAAGTGGTCACCCTTCTCTCTTATTTTAACACCAAGTCGTCAACATAGCATTCGACATTCTTGTGGAGAAGATTGTCAAAAATATTCTGCATAGCCCTTTGGTAAGTAGCACTAGCATTTTTCAAGCCAAAAGGCATTACTTTGTAGCAATAAATATCCTTGGGGTGCGAAATGCAGTAAGCTCTTTATCTTTTGGTGCCATACGAATTTGGTTATAGCCCGACGAACCGTCCATGAAAGAAATTGCCTCGTAACCAGTAGTAGCACCGATCATCAGTCTGGAATAGGAGGTGGGAATTCATATTTGGGACACACATTGTTGAGATCCCTGAAGTCAACGCATACTCGAATCTGGCCATTCTTCTTCCTTACAGGGACAATACTTGAAACCCATGTTGGGTTTTTAGCTTCCGGAATAAATCCATCCTTCAATGAGTTTGTTAACTTCGGTTTCAATCAGGGGAACCAAGTCCGGCCTAAAGTGCCTTTGAGCTTGCTTAACAGGACGAGCGCCTTTCTTGACTGCAAGGTTATGGACTTCTACTTTAGGGTTCAAGCCAACCATTTCTTTGTAACTCCAAGCAAAGACATCCCTAAACTCCTTGAGTAACTCAATATAAGTTCTTTCTTCATCAAATTCTAGTAAAGCACTTAGGTATGTGGGTCTTGGTTCTTCATCAATGCCAAGGTTAACTTCTTTTAAGGCATTAATCGTTGCCTTCACCCTTTCTTCAAGTTCTGGTGGAGCATCTTTTGCATCTTCATCTTCTTGAGGGTCCGCATTGTTGAAGGATATGTGATAACATGTTAAAACATCATCCAATTTCTCGTCATCTTCCATTATAGATGAAACATCGTGCTTGCCTTGTGCAGTAAAATGATACAAAGAACCCACACTTTTTCATCTTCATCACGTTCTTTAGTGTAGACCACAATGTATGGCTTCACATTTAGAAGCTCATCACACAAAACCATGACTTTTGTTTGTCGCCTCATTCTAGAAGGAACCAAACTTTGGAAATCCTTAAAGATCTTCTGAATTTTGGGCGAAGAAAGTGTCATTGTATTTCGATAATTTCTCTAGAACTTATTCCTTTTCTTTAATGGACCCAATCTTTCAAACACGGAAGTCCTCACAGTTGATTTTCCAAGTCGATCAAAGACAGAAGGCTTGTTAGAAGCAGCAGATTCATCTTTTACAGTGATATAATTGTTGCTCGCCCTTCTTATAAAGATGCGCACTGGTGACAGTTGCTTATATCCCAAACCTTCGCGTGGTTGCCTCGTCGCAGCTTCTGATTCGAGCTTCCCTAACTTTGATGGCTCATTGGGATTGTCTCCAGCATTTGCAAATATTCTGTAAGCGTTAGGATCAAAACCTTCATCTGTTCACTTTGTAGGGAGTGCCACATTCTGCAAACGATTTTGGGCCACAAACCCTGCAAGTGGCTTTGAGGACAACTTTACTGCCTCAATTCGTTTTACCAGAAGAGTTAACTCCTTTAGAATGTTAGTTTGGAGATTAGATTATTCACCTTCATATTTCTTCCTTTTAGGGAGATATTGGAGCGCATGAGTTACTTTCTTGCCATAAGATGCAATATCCCCTCTATAAGATTTATTCAAGTTAGGTTGTACCTCCTCAGTAATAGCCTCGTCATTCTTGCTTTTCATGACATTATCAGCTTTTAGCTCCTTCAAAATGTGGTTCTTCAAGTAGAATTTTGCATCAACGAAGTGTGACTCAGCCTCGGTGAATGGCTCATCATCAGCAATTATCTTCTTCTCGACTTCACCTTCGTAGTATTTCAAACATTAATGGTAGGTAGATGGAACCACCTTATTTTCATGTATCCAAGGCCTTCCAAGCAAGACATTGTATGAAGTCTTTGCATCGATAACATGTGATATTTTAAGCGTCAATACCACACAAGAGGGGGGGGGTTAATTTGTGTGGTACCCAATTTTCGCTCAACTGAACTATAGAAGGACCTGGTTCTTCTAGGTATTCCAACTACTACTATTTGCGGAATAATAAATACATAAAATAAAGAACACAGAGATTTTTACGTGGAAAACACCTGGCTCAAAAGGTGAAAAAACTACAACCTACTACTCAGTAGGATTTTCCCAACTTCCACTAAAATCACTGAGCCAAAACAGCATTTACAAAACTCTTTGTAAACCTAAGGATTAACTCTAATCCCGTTGTGGCACACAACCTCAACTGTTACGGCAACTTCAAGTTAACTCTAACTTGAACACTCTAGGTACCTAATACAATTGCTTCTATGAAACCTGAAGGGTACAATATAAAATCACCTACTACAATTGAACTAGAATAAAAGATAGACACATGGAACTGGTTCTTCTATCTCGTTCAAGTAGCTTCAAGATTGCACACTCAAATTACACATAAATTACTTGTAAAATCACCTTGCTCTTTTGCTCTCAATTTAAGTTTAACTTCTGCTTATGTGCATTACCTGTAAAAGAGAACAACACTGACATTTAATAGGTTAGTAATTAGAGTTTGACTTGGATTCAATTGCTACTCTTCTATCGTAGAAGAGTTCATGGTGATCTTAAACTCTAACACTATTTTCTTCCTAAACTATGTTCTCTTCATGTAAGGAGTCTTTCTCTCCTTATCAATATGCAATCATTTCGATCAGATTAGGAGATATTGCTTCTTGATCAGTTAGATTTATCTCTTTCAAGTGCATCTCACATGTATAGGTTGATCATGATTGTGCTTCACAAGCTGACCTGGTCCATGTCTGAGTTCTTTTGTCAATCTTCAAAACTTCACCTGTTCTTGGGCCAACAAATTCCCCTGTTTTGATGATGACAAACTCTGTGCTTTTTACTTACTTGGATCCTGTAAGAACTCAGCTGAACCATTAATTCAAAGTTTAGAAAATTCACTTATCATCAAGGACCAAGTTAATTAGGTTATAAATATCACATAATTCAGAATATGTAAAGCACTATCTCTTCTCCCTTTTAGCATCATCGAAAAGTTGCATACAAAGTGTGATTCCTAGATTTTAATAAATACTCATGGCCACTGGCGTAACTGCAAGTGCAATCATGGTTTAATCATCAGTAATCAAGCAAACATATTTAAACTATCAAGGAAAAATTAACATAGAATAAGAGCAAAAACATTAGATATCATTGATAGAGGATATGTTGCTACCACAATCCACAACCAAAAAACAAAAACATTTAAACCATAAGCAAAAAGATAGAAATATCCCTAATTCGGGTCACTGAAGATACTAGACAGATTCAGGAGACAAAATCTAGAATTCCTAAAGCTTGGGGGAGCTAGAGGGTTGGTTTTGGGCTTGGAGAAGATTCAGCATATTATGAAGAATTCCACCATTCTTCCCCTTTACCTTGGCAAGCTCAGTCTGAGAGCATCTCTCTCAGATTCCACCTCTGCCACATGAGTCTTGAGCCTAGCTATATCGGCATCCTTGGCTTCACATTCTTGAACAAGAGCCTTGATTTTACTATTGACAAGAGTCTTATTTGAAGAACCAGGTTCATTTGGGATGACATTGACCAAATAGTCATAAGCAATCAGAGTGTTAATGCCAAAGTGATCCTTGATTGAAGCCATTTCCCACTTCTTCAAAGGCACATTGCACCTATCCAGAATCGTAGTCAGAATAAAGCCATAGGGGGTAGCATGAGCCTTTGATCCATTGATAACCCTGTCCCGTAACTTGATGATGAAGGCAGACAAATTAATTTTCCTTCCACTTTCCAGGCACTCCATAAGAACTAGGTCCATATAATTTGCAATATGCCTTCTCTCTTGTTTGGGCAATAGGCACTTATTGACAAATTCAAACAAGACCTTGTGTTGAGGCCTCATTTCACTTTTCTGAACAGCCCTAGCCTCATTCACATCTTCAGCATCACAGAACCTCCTGGTAATGTCAAGGGCAGTAGGAAAGGAGTCCAGACAAGGCCACCTTTGCCTTGTATAGTCATCAAACCCTTCAGAGGGTATATCAAGGATCTCTCCCAGTTTTTCTGCATCAAAGGACACTTGAACTCCTTTCACCAGGTTGTTAACCTTGCCATCCTTAACCTCTGTATTTGCCATGAACTCGATGATCTCATTCCTGACTAGCCTACCATCCATCTGAAGGACCATGTCCTTCCACCCCTGAGCAGCTAAGGCATCCATCAGTCTCATCATTCCTGGTTCCACCAGGTCTTTCAACAGTCTACCCTTCAAAATCTTTCTTTTGCCAAACATGGCAAGCTTGTCTTATTCACCATCAGACTCATCATCTTCTTTTTCTTCCTCTCCACTCCATTCCTCATCTTCAGAAATTCTTACTTGTTTATTTTCACTGCAGACCTTGTCCTCTTTGCTAATGAAGGTTCAGCAGCCTCAGACACAGAGGAAGACTTCTTGGAAGAAGTTTTGGATTTTTTGGGCTTGGGGGTCTGAACCTCCAATATTTGAAGTTCCTCCTGATGGACCTGTTCCATCTCCTCAACCTCCACAGCCTCTGAGGACTCTGCAACCTTCCCTTTTCCTTTAGCCAACTTTTTCTTCTTACTCTCAGCTAGAGCCTTTTGAAGATCACTCTCACTCTGCTTCACCCTGCTTCTTGTAGCTCTTCCCTTTGGCAATAAAATTTCAGTAGTTGTTGGGATGAAGCCTTTCTTTTTTTGGAAGGTTTAGGAGCACTGGGGGTTTTTGGTGTGGGAGTTCTTCGTTTCTTAGGATCATAACTTGCCCCAACCTTTTTCAACAGGTCAGCTAGGGTCTCTTCAGTAGATGAACCAGGTTCATCTCATTGTTTGCTTAGATGAACTAACCCTTCAGCAGCTTCACCAGAATCACTTCCCCCTGACTTCTTGCCACTCTCTTATACCTTTTCTTGTTTAACCCCACATATAGAAGGCACATATAAATCAACAGTGGGTGAATGATCAACCACTATTTTCCCATTTCCCCTCTCTTCACCACATGCACCCTCTCTCTCTTTTTCTTTTTCAGAATTCTTTTTACCTCCACTCCTTCGTAACTCAGGTAATTATACATCCTTAACAGGCCCAACTAGAATAAACCTCTAGTTTCTAGATTTTTAAATAGAGAAGAACTTACCTTAGAATGAGATTCTTTAGTCTTTTTAGAGTCAGAAGACCCAGGTCCTCCCCCCTCACTGGCGGATTTGTATGACTCAGAATCAGAGTTGGAGTCAGATTCTTGGACTTGGCTAGCCTTTAATTTCTCATTTAATTTTTTTTTGAGAGCCCCAGACGCTACTATTTTTCGAGCAAGCATTTTCACCCTTCTTAGCCTGGGTTTGGGAGATATACTAGGTGGAGGAGGGGTAGATGAATTAGAGGGAGTGGGTTGTGGTGGAGTTCCAGGATTGTTTTGTGGGTTTGTCATGATCGCTGGTTTGAGAGAATTGATGAGTTAGAATTTTGGAGAAGAAAGCAAATGAAAGCGAAGAGGGATTTTTGACGATTTAGAATTATGGAGATGGCAGGAGTTAATGATGTGTAGTTAAAGAGAAATACATATTTAATGTATAACGACAACTTTAGCAGTGGTCAATTAGAGGTCTAATCAACCTGAAATTGCAGGTTTGAATGATCAGTTAAGCTTTCCTAGATTTTAGGCAATTTTTGTGGTTTAGAATTCTAAGGCAGACGGAACTGGTTCAAAGCTAACAGATAGAATTTTCTAAGGAATTGAGCCAATTATAGGACTTCTGCTCATGATTTAAATATTTATATTTCTAATTGTGCAGAGTATAGAAAATATACCTTAGCTTTCAGATGAACTCATACTGATGAACCAGGTTCTTCATTTAGAATTCTCTTGAACATGCCTCAATTTGCCATAATAGAGAATATTTTGTAAGAGATCAGTGAGTCATATTAACACATGTCACAAGAGTATACTAATTACAGTATGAAGCTGAGTAAAAATTAATCTAGATATTTATACAAGTTCAGATTTCCTAGCCAAAAAAATTCATTTTTTTCATTTTGCATTCTGAGCTGGTCTTATTAGGTGATCTTAATCATCCCTAATTTCAACTTGTTCCTCTCATAGTTTTCTCTACTCAGTGCTTTAGTGAAGATATCAGCAATTTGTTTATCAGTAGCATAGAATTCTATATAGATTAATCCTTTCTCATAATTATCTCTTAAGAAGTGGTGCCTAACATATATGTGCTTAGTCATGTTATGATGAACAAGGTTCTTTGTCATACATATAACACTAGTGTTATCACAGAAGATAGGAATGCAACCAACTTCAATGCCAAAATCTACCAACTGCTATTTGATCCATAGCAATTGAGCACAACAAGAGGCAGCAACAACATATTCAGCCTCAGTAGTGGATAAGGCCACTAAATTTTGCTTTTTAGTGGCCCATGATACAAGACATGAACCAAGAAAATGAGCCATACCGGAGGTGTTTTTCCTATCCACAAGGAAACTTGCATAATCAGCATCAACATACCCTACTAAATTGAAATTACTACCTTTAGGGTACCAAAGACACAGACCAGTAGTGCCTTACAAATATCTCAGTATCCTCTTGACAACAGTCGAGTGAGATTCCTTTGGATTAGCTTGAAAGCGAGCACAAAGCCCTACACTAAAAACTATGTCAGGTCTGCTGGCAGTTAGATATAAAAGTGAATCAATCATACCCCTATACAACTTCTGATCAACTGATGAACCAGGTTCATCTATGTCTAATTTAGTGGCAGTTGCAATGGGGGTGTCTATTTCCTTTAATTCATCCATTTTAAACTTTTTGATCAGCTCCTTTGCATATTTCTGCTGATGGATCATGGTTCTATTTGGTCTTTCTTTGATCTGTAAGCCTAAGAAAAAGTTAAGCTCACCCATCATACTCATTTCAAACTCACTCCCCATTAATTTGGCAAAATCCTTACTTAGTTTGTCAGTGGTTTCTCCAAAAATTATGTCATCAACATATATTTGTACCACAAGAAGATCCTTACCTTTTTCCCTCAAGAATAGAGTACTGTCAATTTTACCTCTTTTGTAGCCATGCTCAAGCAGGAATTTGGACAATCGTTCATACTATGCTCTAGGAGCCTGCTTGAGTCCATAGAGAGCCTTGTCTAATTTGTACACATGTTCAGGACACTCCTTGCTCTCAAACTCTGGAGGTTGTTTAACAAACACTTCTTCTTTTAGGTAGCCATTCAGGAAGGCACTCTTGACATCTATCTGATGAAGAGTGAATTCCATGTGTGCTGCAAAAGTTATGATAAGTCTTATTGCCTCTAGTTTTGCAACTGGAGCAAATGTCTCATCATAATCTATACCGTCCTCTTGACTGTAACCTTGGACCACCAGTCTTGCCTTGTTTCTTGTAACTGTTCCATCTTCATCAAGCTTGTTTCTGAAGACCCATTTTGTGCCAATCATTGATCTGTCCTTGGGTCTTGGAACTAGATTCCAAACTTGACTTCTCTCGAACTGATTGAGTTCATCTTGCATTGCATTTACCCAATCTACATCATGCAAAGTCTCAAAAATATTTTTAGGTTCAATAAGAGATATGAGAGCATCAAAAACACATAGATTCTTTAATTGTGATCTAGTTTTGACTCCAGAGGTTGGATCAATAATTATGTTCTCAATAGGATGAGAACTTTGATACTTGTGAGGTTTCACAACCAACTGATTTGTGCTTGATATTTCTCCCATGTTCTGCTGCTGAGGAACAGGGTCATGAATAGGTTCCTTTAGGGGATTGGTTTTAGTTCCTCTTTGATCAGTTCCCCATGTCAGGTTTCCTTGGATGGAAGAACCTGTTCCATCACCCGTTTCTTCTTTTGGAGCCACTTTAGCTTGAGCTGAGACTTCACTCAAATCTTTTACCATCCCAATAGCTTCATCTTCATGTTCCCGTCTCTCAGAAAGAATGTTAGTTTTATCAAACACTACATGTACACTTTATTCTACACACAAAGTTCTTTTATTGAACACTTTATATGCTTTGCTATGTGAAGAATATCCCAAAAATACTCCCTCATCACTTGTGGGATCAAACTTACCTAGGGAGTCCTTTCCATTATTGTGCACAAAGAACTTGCATCCAAATGCCCTAAGATGGGATATATTTGTTTTCTCCCTTTAAGTAATTCATAGGGAGTTTCACACCTCCTTTTTACCACCCCTGTAAGGGTATAAGGGACTTTTTCTAATTTAAGTGACAGTCGAAACGGGATTATTTATATTAAAATCAGAGTCGCCACTTGGGATAATTTATGGTGTCCCAAGTCACCGGTTTAAATCCCGAATCGAGAAAGTTTGACTCTGTTTTATAGTCCGCGAAACACAAAAATCCGTGTAAGAAATTCTGTTAGCCCGAGAGAAGGTGTTAGGCATTCCCGAGTTCCGTGGTTCTAACACGGTCGCTATGATCATACTTGACTTAATCAAATTATCTAATTACTCATTTTAGAACCTATGTGCATTTGCCTCTTTTAATCAAGAAATTATCTTTAAACAGGTCACGTGCACGTGTACCTATTCGCTTGGCGCGCCAAAAAATCATGTCACGCGAACGTATCCACAATTAATAACGCTTTATTATTATTAAGAAAGGTTTGGCCAAAGTTGCACGAACGCATACTCCGGTTTTGTTTTTAAAATCGTAATCATGTCACGCGAACGTGTCCACAATCACGATAGTATATTAAACGTGCCTAAAGCAAACTACAAACATTTTTCATTTTTATATCTAGGTTATGAAATTAATACAAGAGTCATGTATGATTTAACGGTGTATGGCACACCTCAAACTATATGAACTAAAATTAATTAACGGCCCATTAGCACCCATTTTTATTGTTAAGAAAGTTTGTATGAAGTTGCACGAACTCATACCCCGAATTGGTTTTTAGAATCGTAATTATGTTACGCGAACGTATACATAATTACAATATTATTTTAAACATGCCTAAAGACCTTTCTACGAATATTCATTCTTAATAAATAATGCAACATTTGTGAGGGCCATTGTGGTATAATTAAATGGCATGCCTCACTCTGTTTTTAAAGAGTCATATTTAAACTGGGCCTAAAGATGCTTGCATTTGCAAATAATTTGAACTTAAAGGAACTATTAGTCGTAAATAGATTGGACAGTGGGTTATTTTAACAAAATGGACCAACATGTCAGTACCTTGGGCCGTTAAAGTCAAATGGCCATAACTACTAAAGAGAAACATTAGGGGTCTTGGACCTGAGAAATGAATCCAAAATAAAAGGGAAGGTCCTGAGACATGCGAGCCTAGCTTGGGCCCAGCAGTCTCACTTGGGCCATTTAATAGGCCAGACCGATCCAAAGGGTGTGGTTCAATATTTTTATTTTGCAACCCTTCAAGCATCTGTTACACTTTGAGTAACCCAAACATTAATCTACATTAAGCTAAACTAATTCATCAAATCAAATAAGATATATTCACCATCTAATTTAAATCCAAACTGTAGAACGTTAGAACACTATACACTCAGCGAATACTCAGGCCACATGCATTTTAAAAATTAAAACTACTACTAACTGATGTTGAACTCATACATATAGTGATTCTAACAGTAGGATACTACAGACATTTAAACTAAGTATTACAATGGCAACAATGGATCCTAGACTCATTCAGATACTTAAACCAAAAGCCAAAATAGCAAAATCATGATGAGAGTTAACCTGGAACTTAACATCACTACTAACTTGAATCAATTCCATCAAAATCCAACAAAGAATGTTACTCATCTAAATTAAGCCCTCACTATAACAATCCAAACTAAACTCACATGACAAGCTAAAGTTTAATACAACCCTAAATGTATGGTCAACAACACGAATAAATACAGTAGATCATATAGTAAAACTGATGTAATGCATAAAACAAAGATAGATTATAAATAACATTAGCTGATACTAATGCTTAAATCTCCACATTCGATTACATGCTTCAAGTTTGAGCTTCACATTCAATAAGGTCTAAGAGGTACCTGGAAGTAAAGATAAAGCAAAAGATAAGGATTTCAGCAGTAAGCAGTAGCGCAGCAAATCAACATAGACACTTTTAGCTTCCTTAAACCATTTTTAGGACCCAGATAGTTCAGAAATCCCTTGAAACTCTCAAACTACTGCTAACAATGAAACGAAAGAACAATTCTTAGGAATTTTAACCCAAAAAGATGCAGAAACTTTGAATGCCTTTTTAGAGTATGAATTTTATCTTTTTTAGAAGTTTTTGTGCAGAAAAATGAGGCTTGAAGTCTGGTCTTGAGTAAAGGAAATGCTGCCTCTTTATAGGCCAAAAAAAATCCGATGTGCTGAAACAGAATTGAGAATATTTTCAGTCTGCAAAGTCATCTTTT